GATATTATTCCAGGCATGCCTTTCTCTTTACCTTTGTCATTTTACTGTCTGACAGAATGGTTGCCCGGGGGGTCGTATATATCAGCAACATTTACCGTTGCTGGGTCAGATGTGTACATCGGACACAGAATAAAGCATTAATAAAACAATAAACAGGGAGAAGGCAAGTCCTGGACAAAGTAAATATATTGTATGTATAATATAATAAGATATAGTATATATATATAGGGTACTAGTAGTATATAGGTATATAGATATATATAGGACGGAGAGAGAGAGAGAGACATATTTGATGCTTATTCTGTGTGTGTACATTGAGAGCAACATAAGTCAAATTTCTTGTATGCGTTCAGATACCTGGCCAATAACAGTATGACTGCACAATTAATCGAAATATTATTGAAATCGCAATATGGCCAAGTGCAATATCAAAATCGCAATTTGTTTGATAAAGGTAAAATGTGACAAACAGCATTATAATGAAGTACTGTAGAGCTGCAGAGATGCCCTGATCTACAAATCCAGATGTAAGAGAACATGTTTGTTTGGTACAGACCCCAACAAATATCATCATGATTTGAATTCCTGTGACTATGAAAATTGTGATGCAAATATGATAATTTTACCATATCGTGCAGCCCTTAATAAAAGTGATTCTGATTCTGATATGTGAATTTGTGTGCGTAACCAACGCTCAGTCTCAGTCATATAATATATTCACAACTAAGAGAGGATTTTGTAGCAACAGCTCTGGAGGTGGAAGATGTGGGTGGAATATATAGCTACCCTCGCCCTTTGACAATTTTCCTCACCAATGTTTTTGACGATGTTCAGGCTGTGGCAGATTGTCTGGGAGCTGTCGCCATTGCTCAGCAACCTGTAAAGAAAGAGAAAAAGATAATGTTTGCACAGGGAGGCAGGCTGGTGGGTGAATATATTCACTGTATGCTTTATTTTGCTTTTTAAAGAATGATTCAGCAGCACTGTTGGTGCATTCCAGCACACAGACACTGAGATACAATGATGAATTCCCTCTCAAAACCAACAGAATAAACCTGAGCACAAGAATTGCTCTTTTATTATTTGATGAAGATAAAAACATCTCACTCTCTACCCACACAGTGAGCCCCTACTTATCATTCTAACCTCTCCATCACCTGTTGTCTCATAATTTACAGTGTATTTGTAATTTTGTTGCTCACAAGCAAAAGTACCAAAACCATTACTCATTTTTGTTTGTCTGTTGCTTGATTTATATTATAAAAAAAACCTTTTTCATTTCTGTTTCCATGTAATTTGGTCTGACCTGAGGTTGATGTTATCCTGCTCTGCTCCGCCAGAAATGGGCCGCTGTGAGCTCATGGTGTTCCCTCTGACCTCCTGTACAGTGCAAACCGCGGCCGTTTGCTCGGACAGCTTTTTAATGTCTCCGCTGTGGATGTTGTGAGTCCGGTAAGTGAGCATGTCAGCTGTGAGATCTCTGTTCTGGCTGTTGGAGACAGCAGATATAACCGCACTCCTCCCTCCTCCTACTCCTCCTCTTGTCCTATCCTCAGCATCCCTGTTGTACAGAGCGAGTCTGCTGCTGGCCTCGCCATTGCTTGGCAACCCAGCTCTGGAATGATGGAGCTGTGGTGAAAGCTGAGGGCTGCATTTAACAGAAAAAAAAACACACATCAGACACATCAATAGCAGCCATCTTCATCTTTACCTAAGAACTGAGAGGCATCTTCTCTCAGCATAGTAAGCAGCATTGCATTTGTTTAAAGTTAAGTGCATTCATGGCAACAGCCTTCATCAATGTGCATTAATAGTTCAAATACTGTATATGTCCTGAAGGCTTTAGCAAAGGTGGTCAAGGTATTAAACCTTATTTTGCAAATGCATCTATTATGGTCATCAAAATCCCACAATCCATAGTCAACCTTTAAACTATGTCTTTAAACATCAGACACAAAACTCTCCCTGCATCACCTGGGAAGGGACCAGGAGTCTGTGGACAGCCGACAAAAGTTACTGGAGATGTTCCCATCCGATCAGATGACCATCTTTGAACAGAGACAGCTGTTACCATCTCCCCCTCGTACAATGTATGATCTCTCTGTGCCTCACAGTTTGTTGCAATTTAAGGTTGTGCACAGGGTCCGTGTGTCAAAAGCCAACCTATCTCATATTTATCCAGATGTGACAAATGTAGAAGAGGTGAGGCCTCCCTTCCCCTGGAAAAATACTGGAGGGACGTTTTCCAAACCTTCGGGGTTCCCACTCTTTTAGAGATATCAGACATTTTCCCGGGGTTTTTTCTTCACAATTCAGGACTGGCTCACAAACTGTCATATAATGTACCAATAGCCTAGTCTGATGCCTCCTTAATGATGAATTTATGGATGAAGAGTCTCAGGTTCATTATAACGCAGAAAAAGTCGGTTCCACTTTGTGTTTGGTGTGAACAGCTGGATTGACTGACATAAAATGAAAATGGAGCACTTTTTTCATTCTGCTTCACATCTGGTTAACCCATTTCTATGTGCCATAATGCAAAGCTACCAACTGTCAGGTTTCAAACTAAATAAAAATCTAGGTTTATGTAGGTCTGGATCTGAGAGAGAGAGGCCAGGACAACATATTTCCAGGATATTTGGTCACTTTAATACATTTTTAGGTGTTTCTATATAGTCTCTAAATTTCCTGATTTTCGAGGTTGGAAACGAAGGACGCGTGGGAACCCTGAACTTTTCTATAATTTAAAATTTTGATCAAGATGACCTCCTGGTAATCCTTTTTGGCATCTATGTAAAAGATGACGTACGCCTGACTTCAATCAGATGCTGCACACTGTCATTCACCTCTCTGCTGGCCAGATGTGCGGTGTTACGAAGACGGAAGGATGCTGCCCCAACCACCACGCTCAGTGACTGAGGGACATTATATGTCCGGTCTAAACCTTGAAAAGATCCGCTATTCAGTTTGTAATGCAACAAAAACAAAAACAACAAGCAAAAAGCTGTGGTGACCTTTCCTGAAATGCTTTAAGAATCTTTAGTCAAACTAAAGACATATTCTTTCATTATCTTTTTGCCTTTGTCTGTTGATTGCTGTTAATAATATGGTTTATTCATTTCTAAGTCCCCCTCTTTTAATAACTTGTTCATTAATTTTTTATTTCTGTCTTTCTAAATACAAAACGCGACTTCCAGCGGCTTCCTGTATTACTCCACGGATGAAACGTT